ATAATTGTATTGATTTTGAAATGCTTATAAAATGAGCAAAATTGTAATAACAAGTCACAATTTCTTAACCAATTCGATGACATTTTTATGTACTTTGATACTATCATTATATTTATATTAAAAAAATTAAAAAAACTTAAATAAAATTAATATTATGTATTTTATCAAGAACGCTTTTATTACTATCACCATATTATATGACTAAAATTGGTTTTAGTGTAGAATAATTAATATTTATGAAAAGTAAAGGGTGAAATAATAAATTTACATCACTAGTCAATATCAAATATCTGAGTATATGCTTTTTTATTTAACATTCTTGAGAACCGCTAATCTACACCATATTAACTGTAAATTTTATTATTTAAATTAATAAATATTTTTTTGAATGGAAGGTTTATCTGAGTGATAATGAATTTTACACCAAGCAGAAAGAATGTAGCTTTAGAAGGACTTAAAAAAGCCTCTTGCGATCATGATTTACAACTTTATCGCGAAGTTCCTGACATTAATATTAATTTGGACGAATTTGAAGAATGGGCAGTTGAAAGACTAAAGGGTAAGACAAAAAAATTAGATATAAAAATAATATGTATTGTTTTGGAGTTTAAAATACTAATCTATGATTAATATTCTGATTAGTTTTACAAATATTGGAACAATTAAGTTTGAAAGGAAATACAAATAATTATGAAGATTTTACTAAATCCGTAGTTCAAGAAATAAAGAAAGAAGGATTAAAACATATGTATAAATTGGTATGTATTTTATACTTAAAAGATAAAATATAAAAATAATAAGTTCTAACTTATAATATTAAATTTTATTTCTGAATAAAATTTTTAAGTATTTTTTTTTAAATATTATCTACTGTTATAACTTATAACTAATAAGTTAATACTATTAAAATATGAGGATTTAAACTTTTACATACTTTATATTTGTAGTTTGAAAATTATTAATATCTTTAATTTAGTCTGTATTTATATTCTTCAAATCCTTTATTTTTAAAAAATATTATAAATACCTTGAAAATGTGTATTATTGTACTAAATATATTTAAAATCTAATGTAACTGTTATTTATTTTATTTAGATTAAGGGTGGCATTTATAAGGATTACAATGAAAACTGTGATGCTAGAAAAAGAGATTTATGTTCACATTTTATTCTTCGACTAATTTATTGCAAAACTGATGAGTTACGGAAATGGTTTATCAACAGAGAAATAGAACTGTTCAAATTACGTTGGTCACTTCTTTCAAAAGGAGACAAACTTAAATTTTTATCAACTAACAACACTAATTATTCAGCAGTAAGTAATGTAAAAAAAAAAAAATGTCTATAAGAAAGAAAATACAATAATACTGTACTAGACAAAAAAGAATAATTGTTTTTATTAAAACTTCAATATATTATATTTATTATAATATTTTATGAATACGCCAGATTAAATTAATTATTTAAGAGTTTTTATTTTATATTTGTGTAATTGCTATTCTAGCATTTGTTTAATTATGTTATATGCTGATGTAACTCAACTTATGCGCATTTGATATAACACACTATATCATATTTTTATTAAATAATACATCATATCATGCAATCAATTGCCTAAATTTATTGTGATTTATATCATATATTTTTATAAATCATTTGTAGGTTAGTGAAGAAGAACATCAAATGATGGTTGATAACATGGGCTCTTTTGCTACAGCTGGAAACAATAATGAGTATTTTAAAGTTCGCTGGACACAAGTATTGGATTTAGTTCGTAATAGAAAAGTATATCTCTGTGATGGATTTGCTTATGTCATACAAACTGATGTTATCTCCGGTGTTTGTCAAACATTTCGTTCAGAACTTTCTCAAGAATTAGTAGTGAGTTTTTCTTTACAGTTTAATATGATTTTATTTAAAAAAGCACAAAATATTGAAATTATTGGTATAATAAATTGTAAACTACATAAATGTTCTTTAATATATATAGACATATAGTACATATTATATAACTTTTAGTTTCTCTGGTATTAACATTTTTTAAGTTTTGTTTATATATACATTGTATTAAAATTTAAAACTATTTTTAAATGAAAATCTTCAATTTAAATGTATTTAAATGTCTAATTGTATTATAATATATTTTTAGAAATGTTTTCAAAAATTCAGTGTTATTAGTGAAGATGAACGATTTGGTGCATTTATCAAATATTTACATCAGTCCTACATGGGTAAAAATTATTCTGTCACAGAAAACACGTCTTCTTTATCTATTAACACTATTGATCATGTAAGTATTTTATCAAGTTTATTATTATGTTATATGACATCTGCATTGTCGTGTTACTGAAAAACAAGTTAATTCTCATTTTGGTTTAAATAAATAATTTTATTTTACATCTCCCATTAAAGATTAAACAGTGATAGAATTATTATGTCACTGTTATTGAGACTTAGTAATAATAGTAACTATCAATAAAACTTAAAAACATTGTCTATTTTTATTCTTTGGTACTGTGTATCTATTGGTGAGATGTAAACTAACTAGGAAATATGAAATAATTTTAATATTAATAATGTAAAACAAGACATAAAGTTATTCAATTCAGAGTATTATATAACACATATTTAAATTTCATGTTTATATGTTTTACTTAACTGAAATGACCTGGTAACAAAGGAAGCAATGAAATGAGACTGGTTTGGCTCATGTATATGTTGCAGGCTGAAGGATTAATATTATAAGTTTTATTAATTATTTAAGAATAATTAAACATATATGGTGAAATTGAGATAGTAAAAAATGAATGTAAGATGACTCGCATGTGTAGGATATAATGGTATGAAAAACCATTACATCTATATTTTATTTCAAATTATACATTTTTGTGTTAATTATCAATTTTAAATGTGTCAAAAACATTTATTATACTTACATCATTTTTACACATTTTGTATAACATTTTGATATTGATTGTTAGAATAGAGTGAAATTGGGTTTCAACGAGATATCTGTGGTTTATTAACATTTATTTTAAAGTTTTAACTCTGCCCTTTGAATCTTGTTTTTGTTATTGATGAGGTTTAGTTTTTTTTTCATAATAGTATGCTGTTTCTGTTTTGAAAATAATATATTAAAAATGTTGTATTTCATAATTAAATACATATACAGCTAAAAATATTTTTCAGTATAACATTTTTTTTAAAAAGTAACAGTTTTTATAACGTATAGGTATAGTCATCATATATTTTATGTATACTGAAACAAAATGTTAATATTCATTAATAATACAGAAAAAACTAAAAATGAAACATGTGTTTGGGATATATGTATAATATTAATTCTATTAAAATAATTAATGTAAAAATATGTAACTATTCATTTTTTGTTTTAAATATTTTAAAAATTAGTCTTCAAAGTCATTTCCTCTATGTATGAAACGGTTGCATGTAGTTTTGAGGACCGAACATCATTTGAAACATCAAGCTCGCCAACAGTATGGACTATTTTTAAAAGGAGCAGGATTACCGCTCGAACAAGCTTTGATATTATGGAGATCAGAATTTACCAAGAAAATGGATGCAGATAAAGTAAAAATGACTTGATTTGTATTTATTATTAATGATGATTAATGTTTTTTTCTTCTCAATTTAGTTTGATAAACAATATAGTTATAATATAAGACATAATTATGGCAAAGAAGGAAAAAAAGTAAATTATACACCTTACAGCTGTATGAAAATAATTATGGGCGCAGTGAGTTTGGATGAATACCATGGTTGCCCATATAAACATACTAGTAGTCAAGCTTTAAAACAATTACTCGAGGCTTCTAATATTCCAACTCAAAGTATGAGTGTTTTTAGTTATATTATTATAGTGAATTTAACATAAAATTATTAACTATTATCAACATTTTTGTGTTTAGGTGTTCAGGAAATTTTAAATTTGTCTCAAAATGGACATTATCAAATCGCTTGTACAAAATATTTTGAAGCATTTAATGGTGCACCACCTTCTTGCACAGCTATCAATCATCCAAACCAATTCTTTGAAGAAAGTCAAAAACTGAAAGGGATCAATAATGGATTTTACAATGATTGTAAGTGTTTTTTTTTTTTTTTTTTATTTATTTTAATATATTTCAAGCTAAATCTAATGTACATATTGCTATGTTAACAGCTCATATGAATGATTCATCTGTGATAGATGATATTGACAATACAGAATTTGATCAAACAATTGTTGATTTTGTTGATAAAATGGATTGCGATTAACATGCGAAACAAAAAAATTAATTTAACATTTGTACAATAATATATTTTTTTTATCATTTTTATTTTTATTTTAAGTATTACTCAAAAACTGAATGGGTTATTCAATTAATTACAATAATTTTTTTTACTCAACATAAGTAAATACAAATAATAAGTATTTGTACAATATATTGTTTTACTTTTAATAAAAAATTTATTTGAATGATTGCTAGCTAATTAAACTAATTTATACTTATGCAAGCATCATATAATATGACTTATCGTGTGCAACTAAATCTTTTAGATTTTAATATTTAAAGAAATAAATGATTTGTTAAAATTTTTTAAAAACTAGAAAGTAGTAGCAAATTTTAATATATAAAATGTATAATTAAAAAAAAATACCTTAAAATTAAAAAAGTATAAAAGTATAGTTATTAGAATATTAGTTATTTTACGAAAAAAAAAAACAAAACAAATTTTAAAACTTATCAGTAAATATAAGGAAGTAAATTTCAATACTATAAATTAACAAGTGCAGAAACATTATATTTTCTTCACAATAAAAACAATTTTTATTTTAACAAAGTGTTAAAATTTAAAAAAATATTTTAATTATCTAAGTAGTAAGTACTATAATTTAAATTTAGGATATAAATTATTTTTTTTAAATTTATTTAGCAACATATAATTTAACTATAATAATTTTATACAATAATATAATAGAAAATATGAAGAGGTATCTAGAATTGCCAATCATTTAATATTTGTTTAATTTGTTCTGTCTAACAATGCTTTGAAGTTAAATCTCTTCAAGAAGTTATGATAGGTATAATAATTGTACATCAAAAATTATCTTACATTATGCAATTTGAAAGTTGGCAACCTTAGGGTTATTGCTAAAACCTCATCATCCTATAATTACAATTGAGGAGAGTACATCTTAAAAAAAAAAACATATACATTATTTATGAATACATTACTGATTTTATAAACAATTAATCTTAAATATTATAATTATTCAATAGTTTATTGAAGTTAGTTTTCAGTAACATGACTTAAGTCCATTGTATCGAAAAATTGCCTCTCCATATTTATGAGTAATAACGATTTATAGGTGTCCTTGTTTGTTATTGATTCCAAAGCAGTTATAACTTTTTTTAATTCAGAAGAGGATTTTTGAACAGGACAATTGGTAGCTGGAATGCATAATGCTATTTGTATCACTTTAGAAATTTGTGAAAAATGTTCTTTAAACCCATCTAATCTTATAAAAGTACTAACTCCTTTAATAGTAGTTGGGTAGTCTGGATTATTTATTACATATTTAGGAAAAAGCTCAAATAAGTCAAACGATTCGCTATCAATGTGGAATGTTAGTTCTCGGTATTTATATAGTAGAGCTTCAATTTTCGGTATTCTATTTATTCTTCTTTCTGAGATTGTATTTAAAAAGTCAAAATTGAGTGCCAAATCATTGTAAATAACAATTCTGTTATTAAATTCAGATTGTATTTCATCTATTATTGAAAAGTAAGTGTTGGTTTTAAATCTTTCGGCGTCATCTATATAATCAACAGGAAATCTCATTTGTGGTTGTTCGACATAATGTTTGTTATTGAAATGTAGAATTTTAGATTTTTGAAACGCACGAGTCTTAAAATCCATAAATTTTTCATTGGTTCGAAAATTATTTAAATGATTTACTAGTAATTGATAAATCTCAAGAATCTCGTAGAAATTAAATTCAGTAGACACAAGTAAATGTAACTTATCTTCAAAACTTGTAGTTAGTTCTATAATTTCTTCCCAAAACATTGCTAAGATACATGTTTCCAATCTTTTAATCTTCACCATAATTATAAAAGCTTGAGTACGAACTTTTTGAGGAAAACTCAAGTTTTCAGATATTTGAAACAATGCGTTTACAATTGTTGACCAATTTCTATTAAGGTATTGGAGCAATTTATTTTTCGATAAATTATTAATTTCAGGCAGATTTTTTAATAAAATTTGTATCTCATACCATTGGGTTTTAAAAGACGATAAAAAGTTCAATAGTTTATCAATTGTTGTAAGAAAATTATTTCCTTCACAGAAAGTAGATGCTGCCTTAGCCATAACTGAACTTAGAGAATCCGATGAACATGGTAAAATTTCAGCTAATTTGTTAATTGTTTTTAGACTACTCTTTAAACCAGAACTGTGTATAGGTAAATTACTATTAATATCGTATGATAGTCCCATAAAACCACTACGATACAAACTATATTTGTCAAGTACCATATGGATTATATCCATTATTTGCAAAGCATTATCTGCTTTTTTATTTATAATATCCAGAAACCGTTTTACTGGTATACCATCATCATTAACATACCGAATATAAATCGCTGATTCATCAGTGTCTGGCAAAGAATCAATATATATTGAAAAATAATCAGCTTCTAATAGTTCTGTTGCAATTGTAATCTTAATTTTTTTGGCTATTAAAGAAATTATTTTCTCATAATATTTTAATGAATGTTCAGGTGTAGGGAATATTGGAAGTTTATATTTATTAATTCGTTTTGATACTGCTTTATGTATATCAGCAATATACTTAATTGTAAAAACATCATCAGGAAATTTCTCAGGTACGTGGGACTTTATAACATAAATGACTTCATCACAAATATTTGTCAAATATTTATTTTCTGAATTTTCCCTTTTTCTTTTCCTTTGATCCATTGCAGTTAATTGTCTTTTTTACTGCAACTCCTTTATTGTCAAAAATACTTATTGAAAAATCTCATATAACACCATGAATCATCTATAATTGATACAGCTTGATCAATGCTAAAAAAAAAAAAAAAAAATTATAATTAATAATGTCGAAAAAATTAAAATTATTTAATTAAATGATTTTTAGAATATTTATACCTAGAATGTAACAATAACAATTTAATTTTTTTTAAGACTTATTATTAAATAAGTATAATATTTTATTATTATTTAAAATTTAGAATTAAATACCTAGTGATTTTTTTTTTTATTTTAAAAAGAAACAAAATACCTATATTTAAAAAGAAAATTTAACACAATTAAAATTTGTGATATTTCATTTGCAGGGCACAATTTGAAACCTCCTATAGATAACAGATTTAGTATCACTGATTTGATCTCAACATGGTTTTTCAACAAATAAATTACCATTTCATATCTATTAAAGTGATTGGTACATAATAATGTTAGTATATGAAATAATTAACACAATATTTGTTATTATACTCATAATGTTAGGTTTAACAAACTTTATTTTATTTATAATTAATTATTCTTTAAACACGAAAACTCTAAAACATAAGCTGGAATAAGGTATATGCAAATATAAATAATTACCTATACTAAATTATGTAAAGAGAGATCTATATAAGTTTAATTCAAAATCTTAAGAAAAATACTCATTAATTATTTGTTGATAAGTTCGAATAATTAAAGTATAAAACATAATTATTAAAATAGAAATATTTTTCCTTATTTTTAAAATTAAATATGTAAACCAAAACACAAAAACTGTTTATGTAAACTTTACATAAAATTCAGCTCCCATACTAACTTTAACATAAGTCACCTTACTTCCCACCAAATTCTAGACAACCTCACATGCAGATTCAAACAAAAGTGGTGTAGAGACCTCTTTTATTTAGACTATTCATCAATAATAATCCAATTAGGTCATTGTGTCATATTTCATGTTATGTACAAATCAATTTATCATTATTACTTGTTGTGTTTAATTGTTTAGTTGTAAATTTTGTTGTTAAAATAAAAAATATGATACCAGTTAAAAAAAAAAAAATTAAGTAAACAATAGTACCTAAGTTTGTGTTACAGTCTGCAAAGGCGAGTTTAATACTTATATTAAATACCTACATGGCGAAATCTTTAATGACTAATTGGTAAAAATTTGAAACAATATTAATTGATAATTTGTTACTTGATATTAATTATGCAGTAACAATTTCTATATCAATGTATTTAAACTAAATCAATTATAGCTTGGAATAAAATTAAAACTTTCACGACAAAAAAAAAAAATTGAAAAAAAATTAAGTAAAATACATTCCTTATATACAAATATATACAAAAACAAATTCTTTACCAAAAAAATTTATTCAAGAAGACCTGATAAATATTATAGAAGATTTTCGTATTAAGCGGATTCAAAAAAAAAAAAAAAACATCTGGAGAATAAGTGTGTAGATGAAGTTAGAATATGACTTTTACAAAATTAAAGTAAAAAACTGTTGTGCTCAGTTTTTGTTTGGGATACTGAAGAACTTTTGATACAACATTTACAGTTTCCAGAATTTTATCAATGAAAATTACCCTGAATAGAAATTGAAAATATCATATTCCATATGAACTTTTAAATAATTTGCTTAAAATATTTTGTCTTTATATAAACATTTTAAAATATCAACGTAATTATGTCGAATAGCTAATAAAGAATCATACCTTGATAAGTGATAACCAATCAAGAGTACATAATATTTTTAATGTAACTAAAATATTTGATGACTCTGAAGATAATAACTGCCAAAGTTTAATATTGTTTAAAAAAATGTATAAATTTTTTCCATAAGTCTAAAGAACGTTTTTACTTTTGTTAATTCATTACATCGTTTAGAACCAAGTTAAAATTATGTGAAGCGCAATAGATAATTTTGCCAAATTTTGTTTAGATTTTAACCTAGCCTGGACTCCTAAATGTACACCATTCAAGTTGGTTCGTGGCATTAGCATATATCTCACTCACACACATGTGTGATACTTCACTAATACACCCTGCTTAGAACTATTTATTAATTAGCTATTACTTATTACGAATTAGCACAGCGGAAATAACAATATGAGACTAGAAATAATTCCAGTGTAAAATAAAAATTATTAAAATTATTACAATATTCGAATTATCACTAAGTAAACTCTATGGAAGAAAAACCATTACTTTTGGATTATTATACCACGTGATCATATAAATTGTGACTCTATGTTATAACTCTATGCATTTATGTGTTTGAATTTTATATTTACGCAATCCATCATAGACGAAAATCCAGAAAATAATAAACAAAGCTCCTGATCGCGAATTTTTTTACACTTTAAGTATACGTATGCGCAATACAACTTAAATATTTTGAATAGAAACATCATTTATTTTTTAGATATTTGGATACATTTTTTTTTTTAAACGTTTTTCGTAAAAAATTCTATTTATAAAACTGACTGAAGTTAGAGAAGTCAACACGTGAGTTTGGTATACAAAATTCGTGTTTAACAACATTTCCAGTTAAAATCACTGGAAATAAAATAAATGCCAAATAAATGTTTACTTTACCTTATCTGTTTACAAATAATAATATAATAATAATATCATACGTCATCCGGATGAATATATCAAGTATGGAATAATGTTAATTCAGTTGACTGCTATAATATGATTACAATTCTAACCATTTTTAAAGTGGAAATTAATTTTATTTTTCAATAATTTTAATGACTATTAGATAATAAGATAATATAATTATTAAGAAATAATAAAATAAGTAATTAAACATTATTTTTTTTATTTCGTAACTGTAATAATCAAATTTATCTATAACGAAACAGTTATTCTAATAATAGTAATATTAATATTATAAAACAAAATAAAATGTATTTAATTAATTTATCTTATACATTTTTTAAAACTTTCACCATAATGTCCTTAACATGATTCAAGTTGCCTCAAAATTTCAGTCGTAGTTACCGCCTTAATCAATACTGTCAACTAAATAAAAATTATCATATACTCGAGATATTCATCTGAACGACGTACGATGTTATTAAATTATTATTTGTAAACGGATAAAGCAAATTAAACATTTATTTTATTGTTTCCAGTGGTTTTAACTGAAATTTTGTGTCAAACACGAATAATGGCATAAATTCAAATGTGGACTTCTCTAACTTGGTCAGTTTTATAAATGGAATACAACTTTTTATATGAAAAACGTTTAAAAAAAAATGTAAGTTGTATTACGCATGAGCACACTAAAAGTGTGAAAAATCTGAAAACTATAAATAAATGTGTATTCAAGTACCAACTAAGCCCTCTAAAATATTCACTTCAATACAAGGTCACCCAGCTGAGATATTTAATAGGACCTTGAATCGTGATCACACTATATAATAAATTAATAAATAATATAATGTTGATTTATTAGAATTTTAAGCCTTCAAATTCAAGGTGTATCACCTACGATTACCACTGTCGAAATTTGTATACAAACATTTAAAATGTGTTAATATTCAATTTCAGTTTCATTTAATTTATTAGGTACTATAAGTATTAGTATTATAAATGAGCAGTTAATTTTCAATTTTATTTCAATAATATTAGAATGAAAACATTTTTCAAATTTATAACTGTCTAAATTGAAATATTTTCAGTTATGACACACACTAACTCAAAATTAGCATAGAATTTTTTAATTCTTCTAATTCAATAGTTTAGCATTTTTATTTTAAAATGGTTAATATATTATTTATCGAAATTCAATTACATTATGCTCGAGAATAGACATTATCCAAAAAAAGGCTGATTCTAAGCTATATACGATTTAAAATTGGCTTTATAATTTCAATAAGTTTTGAACACATGACCGCAGTTTTTCAAGCCATCTGATGAATCAAAAACTGGTGAAAGTAGTTAAAGTTAGGCACCAAGACACCTACAGTCACGGTTCAATGATACCTGTGTAACATGCTACACCTACCAACTTACATGTGTATGTGTATATATACTTATTTTAAAATGTTATCTGTTAAAAATGTTATATTCTTCCAACTCGGTAGAATTTCCTAATTTTAGGTGTTATTTTACAGCGTATTAAAATTTATTTAACAAAAAGCTATTTAATGTATTTTCAATAACCATTATTGTCAAGTATTTTAAAATGTTTTTACTGTTTTTTAAAGTCATAGGTTGCTTTCACATAATTCAAGAAAAGTAAGTATAGTATTTATGAGTATATGACCGTTAATTTTGATTACCTTAATAACTCAACTCACATTTGTTTTTCAGTAATAAAATATAAAAGAATAAGAGAGATAGATATGCAATATTTTCTAGTAGGTAACAATTTATCACTTCACTGGTTAGTATAGCAAACTATAGCAATGAAGTAGCAGCAGGTAACATACAACACGACTTTGGTAAATATCTATGTTTTTTTTTTAATATTAAACATGATGTTATACAAATAATATAATATAAAATTTATCTTATAAATATAAGACAAATTATAAAAAAAGACTCGAGTTTTTCTATCAATTCCAATTATATTGTTAAATAAATTGATACGCAAATAATGTACGAAATTTAAATGTAGTGAAACGTTCATAAGTCATAATCCAAAAATCAATGTGCAACTCGCTGATTCGGCCGTATCTCGCGTCTCGCTATATGGTTCCATTTCATCGAACTTATTTTTGAATATACCTAGACAAGGCCGTAACTGGAGTGGGGGAGGGTCCAGAGGTCCAGACATTGAAACATTTTAGAGGTGAATATGTGTTCAGTACCTATTTTACAAAATATGTTGGATCCCAACCAAAACTTTTTTCAATTCTGATCTGGTTAGCTCATATAACTTATCGGAATACACAGTGTAAACATTAGAAACTATCACGTGAGTATCACAGTTTTCAATGCACTTTCAATATTTTTTATTCAATATTTTATTAATTTCAAAATAATAATTATTTAAAACAAAATTGTATGGATACTGATAATAATTATGCGACACCTTATGACCAGGACAAACTTCATTTTATTTTATATACTTAATAATCGGGAATTAATCAATTGATAACGAGTTAAGTTTAGTACTAAGACCGTTTCAAATGGTACATTTTTCACTACTATGTTTTAAAAAAATAAATAATTTAAGAATTATACGACGAAATGAGACGGCGAAAAAATGAACAATAGCAATGCGTAAACGATACGCCATCTTATTTATTAATTGTATTACAATTAATTATATTTTTAGAACCTTAGCGATAATTTTTATTTTTTTAAGCGACCATTACGTCATCATAACAAAAATAAAATTCTATTATGAATAAAATATTTTAAATTAATGATTTTACTAAGAAAACATCAGCATACTGTTTGTTTTCTATCTCTGGCTCACACATAACACAGACAAAACACAGTTGGACATTATTATGTTTTTGAATAATTTTAGAGTAAATCATCTATAGTAAAAATTATAGAAAATAATTTTTTTTAAGAATTTTAAGGGTATGACATATTGATTTGTAAAATGTTGTTTTAAAACAATTTTTAACATCATTTAAATTTTTTTTTCGTTTTGAAAATTGAATACTGAGTCAAATAATAATAAAATAAAAACCGATATGTTAAACCCCCGCAAAACTACTATGCCCTATAATTTTGGTAATATGTGTTTTGTCTATGTTACACAATTGCCAGAGGAAGAAAATAAACAGCGCACTGACATCCTTTTAATATAGTATGACGTAATACGTGGAACGTTGTTTATAAGAAAAAAATTATTAAAAATATCGAAAAAATAATAAATATGAAAAATGACCTAAAATTCCCCCAAAAAGAAATGATGAATTAAAAATGCTAAATAAATAAAAAAATTCAAAATAGAAATTATTTGTACCTAATTCAAACTATGTATTATAATAAATATTATGTGGAACGATAAGATAAAAATAATGTATTCACAGCCCTATGGCTGTAAAAATATAAAAATGAACCATTATTTTTGTATAAATGTTACAGGTAATAATTGTTTCCTTTAAAAAAAATTAAAGTAAGTTTAATGATAGATGGAGAGTGAGTTAATATTTTTCGAATTACAACAAACATTTTTTAAAGCTATACCTTTAAATAGTTCAAAAAAGTCAAAATATTAAAAAATTTCATGTGTAGGAAATATTAAAATAATCATTGGGTGAATAAAAGTACATACAGTTATTCATTTTTTAGTTATAACAAAATCAATTTTGTTAAACTCTTATTTTTCCATTATTATATTGTTCTCCCAGTTTTTAAGAATAGTGTTAAAATTGTTTTTCTATTGAATCCAAATTACTAACAACATTGATTTTTAAAACAAAAAGGATATTGAAATTGAAGATTGAAGCATTTTTACTGCTCAGAAAGTAGATGATAGACAAAAAATATATATATATATATACCATTCTCCTCTAATTATCTAAAATAGAATCTCTAAAACCTAAATCAAATAAATAAATTACATCTAAAATAATTAGATTTATTTTTAGTTATTAATTGATTTATATATATATATATATATTTTTGTAATAAGATTAAAAAAAAAACATTATGAAATATTTAATAATATCTAAAAAATTGTGAACAATTATTTGCCTAAGATATACTAAAAATGAAAAATGAGCATTTTTATATGCAAGTTGACAAAAATTTAACTTTTTTGGGAGTGGTTATTTTTTCTAACTGTGCAACAAACAAATTTATTTTTGATAGGTGAATAAATATTATATTGAATATAATATTTTATTTTTATTTTTTAAATTATTTTATAATATTATATAATTAGAATATTGTATTCTTGCTTTTATTAATTTCTTGAAAAATACTTTAAAGTTCTGATTTAAATAATACTTATAATACTTACATTATAATAAATAAAGGATATTTTTTAAACAATTCTGTTGTTTAGCTAAATTGTATTTTATTAGTTGCACCAAAAATATCATCTGATGCATTTTCCTCAGCTAAAAATGATAAAATGTGATCATGAGTTTTAAAATTTAGATTTATATTAAGGAATTCATCTGCTTCATTATCAATTATAAATTATATAATATTACTAGTATTACAAATTTGGTTTAAAATAATTTAATAAATAAAGTATTATGTATTTATTTTAAAATAATAGTAATTATTTTTAATCAAAAGTTGAATAAACTATTTGGTGTTATTTATTAATTATCATATCACAGGTTTAATTTTGGGATATTTTAAATTAATTGATTACATGTTTTATAATTATTTGAAATCAAAGAACTTGGTAATATAAAACACACTTAAGTCATTTAATTTGGATAATATTAATTGATATATTTTTATCTCTATTAATCATGTAAAATTTTGGAAAGTTACTACATGACCAGTTGGTTATAAGCTAAAGAAAGCTATTTCTTCATTTAGAAGTACCATATAAAGGCCTAACATTTTAGTTTTTAATATTAAAATAGTAAAAAAGTCAAATTAATATCAAATAAATTAGACTAACAGTATTTAATTATAATAATAAATTACTAATCAAAAATATAATATCAAGTAATAAGACCCAATACTTTAGCAGTTATTTCTAGATTTTATTAATTATAATTGCTTTGGGTGAACTAGCTTCAAAAGCTGTATAAATACAAAATACTGAAATAAATTTAATCTATTCTGTTATACATATCAAAACTCAATACTTAACTCTAAAAACAATTTTGACTATTGGTTATAGTTTCAAATTTTCTATACTTATAACTATAAGAGCAAGTCTCTAAAATATTCCATGATCTCGTAATAGCACATTGAATTATACGCTTAAGACATCAACTTTTTATGACACTGTATACTAATCTAATGAATTATCCATAATAATTATAACATATATTACATTCAAAACAATTAATAGATAAGTTATATACCACCATAGTATATTTAAGATTAAATTTATTGATTACATGTTTATGAAAAGTTAATACCAGGTATTATTATTTATTGTTGAACAAAGATGAATGGATCATATTATTAATAATTCTTAGTTATTACTACCTACTATATTCTCTCTTAAGTTATTTCGAAAGTATAACAGCCACTACACTATTGGAAAAAGGCTTGGACGTCAAAACATGTATCATAAAGATTGATTAAAAATTTTTTTATAATAGCACAATTATAATATCTACACAATTAAGTACAATCGATTAAATAATTTATTTTTTTTTTTTTTAGTGAGAAACTTGTTATAATATCCTAATTTATTACAAACTTGAAACAAAGTTTAACAGAGAAACTCGATAATTATAAAAAATATAAAATAAAATATTCAATAATATAAAATTGTGTTCCGTGGCATTATGAAATGGAAAATTTGAGAATTTTATTAATGATCTAAAACTGCTATTCATGGAAAATTTGAGAATTTTATTAATGATCTAAAACTGCTATTCATTACAGCTTACATTGTTAACTAAGGGGTATTTTAAAAATATGCATTTCTTTTAATTCTTAACAAGAAACAAGTAGGTATGTTTAACCATTTTTCGCAATCAAGATAGTAATGATTTAAGTGGAAACAAAGTAAACAAGCATAATCAGTGTTACTAGTGTTATAGTTACTAATGATTGAAATAGAAGGATTCACACTATTATTCAATAATAATGTACTTGATATAATTGATACTCACACGATTTTCACTATTTCTATATAATTTTATGATCTATTGAAAACAGTAAATGTTATAACACGGAAGTATATTGTACATACGCTGTTAAAAGTTAAATTAATTTTATATACGAGAAGTAAAATTATAAGTTTCTGCCAAAGAAATAAACAGTGGACGCAGACGCTGGAGTCTGGACCGGATTGTAAAGTAACAGAGAACAAAAACACATGTTTATTTATTTCCAAATCATCGATTTGTTATTGTTTTGATAAATATAAAATAAATATATATTACATACAAACGTAAACGATGTTCCATTATCAATTTTAAGTCGTTTTTATCATTCGTAAAACACCACAAATATACAATAGACTGAACACGTATCTATGTTCAGTTTACTCAATCTACTCTGCCCGACTAGACTGATTTGCTATCAGTCACGTGTGGCTTTTTGTTTTGGAGTTTGAGCTTTTGGCAGGGGGGATACAAAAATTCGAGAATTCGAATGGAAAATAATGTACCAGATGGTCCAAACATCGGATTTTAACATAAATCCATTTACGCATTGTGTGAGAATTATTGTCAATACGCACTTTGTACGACTGAGGATAATAGTGACCTTTTCCACGAATCGATAATGAAAATTGAAAAAAAAACAACACAAGCCTTATCGTAATAATACAATTCCAATACCGGTTTCGATATAATTGTTACTGATCAGTATTATAAAGCATTATATCATAATAAACTGCAATTTATTTAATTTAAAGTAGGTAGGTATATAAATAAATTAAGTTTGATGCAAGTTTAATGGAAACGTAGTTACAATTTAGAAAAATTCTGGGTACCTATTTATTCTTATTAAGAATATACCCCTTTAAACTTTGTATTATGAATTAATAAAATTATATATTATACATTTTTTTTTGTTTTTGACAAAATCATCCAGAGTTATGGAATCACTCAATCCCAATATTACACCTACCCAGACATCCCTCGATACAAATGTTCCAATACCTATACTTGCCCCATTCGGTAGTCGAGTTCGGGGACGACGCCAACCCGATAAATCATTTTTTAATAAATTTGAATTGTTAACAAAGTAATGCTTATTTATGTTTATAAAAAAATAATTTAAGACGTAAGATAAATTATTATTTTTATGCTATTAAGACTATTAAGACGTGTAGCCGTGTAGGTGATTTTATACATGCCTAGTTAAATATCGTACCATGTATGCATTCGTCACGTGCGCTTTCTCTTCTTTTTGTCAAGACGGTGAACTCGGTCGAGTCTGAACCTTTGAACACAAAACACACGGTGCTTGGGTGATCGAGCGAATCTTGATTCTAAATGTCGGCAGACCACGTGGCTACTGGCTATCTCGCCGCGCCACAAAGGTGTTCTCGAGTATACGGCGTGTCCCACGAGGTTATATTGAGTACTCTGTGTTGCTAGCGTTTGACGGTGTTCGGCAAGGACAGCCACTCCGTCTCCGATGAATCGTACGTGCGTAGGCGCTACTTGGTCAATATTGGCGGCGATTGGCGGTGCAAAAAAAACAAGTTCTGCGGTCTAACGCTAGTCCCATGTATCACGCGAATACTGTTTGCGCGCTATTGCGACAATGGACATAACAACAAGGTCACGGACTGATAATACAGTGAGATGCCAACGGTTCCTGTAAACACCAAGGAGATTGTAGCATACAACTTGACCCTTCTGTAACGCCGTGTTAATGGCGTTAGGTTACGGGTGTGGGTGCGATAGTGAGAGAGAGGAGAAGTTTCAACAACAGAGACAACAATATTTTTGTAAAAAATGGCGTTCTCGTCTTTAGGGTCCAATCACGATGTAGAGAAGATAAGGTGATACCACTCGTAAACATTCCGGATGCCAATTTGGACGGCAAATTGATAGTACCGCGGGTGCACGATAGGTAGCGCCACCATTCGCCCGGAGGCCTGTTTTTCCTTTTTGTTGCATGTAAAATCATGAGGTTTATATAGGATTTAGGATTTTCTTTATAAAATAATGTAAGATTTTGAAGTTAAAACTTACCAAGTGTTGAACCTGACTCATTGATTATAAATAGTTTTATAAATTATATTTCAATATGTTTATGTCAATGGTAAGAACTATTTTCTATAATTAAAATAATGGAATAGGAATACCTACCTTCTATTTACATTTCACTAATATTTATATTTATATTTTTTCAGCCAGGAGTCATGAAACATTAAATTAGTAATATTAAAATTTATCAATAACTTATTAACTAATAAATAAACATTTTTTTACATGCTCCTTGTATAATTATTAAAATAATGAAAAACTAACAATTATTAAGTAAGTATAAATAATTATCTAAAAATAAAACTATTAAGTGTAGGTAAAATGTAGTATTATAAAATTAAAATTAAAAATATTCTTTTTTATTGGTCAAGTACATTATTATTATATAAATTATAACTATTTTGATTGCTTGGCTAGATTTTTTTGTTTTTTATTTTTTTCTCTAGCTGTATTTTCTACTGTACCTACATGTAAAATGCATCCGACATTGCAAATAAAAAGTTATGATGGATTTTGCTAGCAAATGTCCATGTTTATTGTAACCGATAGATATAATTTTTAAATTATTAGTTTCCAAATATTCTAATATTTCAAATAATATATTTTTATGCATTTTGGTAGATGTTAATATTTTGCATATTGCGTCTTCAAACTGAAAATAATAGGTAGGTATGTAATTTTATTGTTATTAGTTTGTTGTATATATTTTAATTTAATTTATTTGTTTTTTAAATACATTATCCATAAGGTACCTGATATATTATTTCATATAAATCCTTGATGGAACCATTAAGAATCCACGACTCTTTAATGACAATAAATTTTCCCTTTGTTCATTTTCTTGATTGTCCTGCATAGCACATAGAGCTGTACTGCATGCACTACAATTTTTTGCTGGATTCATTTTTTTCATTTTTCGTGCAACATATCCGCTTAACATTTCTGAATCAAAAACTAGCAAGTCCTTAGGAGTATCATAATTAAATATATTTAATTAATTTATTTTTTCATTTTTTCCAGAAATTTGTGGTCGTAATTTTGGTGCTGGACGTTTTTCTATAGTTTTGGTCAAATATTTTGGAAGACTTGGAAAAATTGTTGGAACTGTCTCTAATTTTAAAATTGGAGTAGTTCTTTCTAATTTTTCTACTACACCTTTACTTATTTTAAATTCATCATATTTAATGATGCTGTCAAAGTCAAAATGTAGAGAACATACGTGGTCTTTTTGCGTTAATTTTCTATCACTTCGAGGAATACTGTTCCTCACTACTTATTCCAAACTTCTCGAGTTTTATCATCCTAAATTATGATTTATAATTTATTTTAAATGATTTTATCTATACAATAATAAGTGTAATTTATTGGTATATTAATATTATTATATGTATATTATAAATGGAAATCTCTATGAATTCAATTCATAAAAATGCAAGTAATAATATAGCAACATATACATCTATAGAAGAAATAAATCATCAACTTGAAAAATAAATAAAATTTAAATACCTTTGGTGAACTAAATAATGTTGGGGTTTTTTCATTACTCAATTTTAATTTTTTTGACTCGCTAGCATAACCTGTTTTACACCCAGGTACATAACACTTTTTTGGCATTGTTAAATATATATAAACAAGGTTTCAAACTTTAATGTTGTTTAAAATCATCAAAGTTGTGGTAAGTTATCTTATCTAAATCATGAATCATAATCATTCAATTGCTTTGTAACTAATTTTATTACTGGTATTTACAAATAAATAAACTAATATTAGAATATATTTTCGGATAACAACTTAAAATAAAATAGGTCTCCGGGCGAATAGTAGCGTACTCAGTTGAGAGATTTCCAAACTCCTGGTTTGCCGTACATTTTGGCATCCATTTTTTTACATTGTGAGATAGGGAAGTAGTGTCACCTTATCTTCTCTACATCGTGGGTTCAGTTTAGCTATCATAGTTATTGGTAAATGATAGCGCGATTGTGCGACGAGAGGAAAAAAACCTTTGCTTGAATGTTCTCCGCTAAATAACTGATGCCATACAGCGCTTCCGGTGGATTTACATACTAACTGATGTCACAGGTAAAAACGGCTGCTTTTGGTAGTATATTATTGTTTAGTGAAAAACGCCTTGTAAAATATTTTATCACTTATATCAAAAAACGTAAGTTATACACGTCCGTAGTTCATACTGCGACTGTAGCATCATTTTATCCATTAAATATACACAATATATTATATAAAAATTTAAATTCGAAAAATAAATATCAATCATGTTATATTATTATTATTTTTTATAACGATGGATTTACATTTAAGATCTACAGTCTTGACTTCGGGAGTCTAATCTTACGCCATAGATATTTAATATCTATGACCTATGCACGTATATTTGCTATCTCTTGTTTTCTGTTATCACTAATAGTTTTAATAATAATTCTACAATTATTAAAATTCTATGACTGTATTTGAGATTTTGACTGTGTGAAATAGTTATCGGATTATCTCTTATAATTTTACATTAATTGAGTGTTCATTATAACGTTCACAAATGTACTCACTTCCTCGATAAATACAAATTGACCGTAATTAGGAATCACTGACGTCGGTGTTATAGATAATAACATTTACCATCGTATTTGTAATCTAAATGCTTAAATAGGTATGTGCCTAACCTATAAACCTCACACCTTAGTATAAAATCTATGGCCAAACTAAACGACAAATTACAGTAATAAATAATATGTGTATCGAGTAAAAGTGAAATTAATAACATTATTCAACTAAAATTAATAATAATATTCAATGGCAACAATTATTGATTTAAATTTTGTAATTATTGTGTGTGTGTGTTTTATTAATTTAATTAATATATTTTAAAATTATACCAGTAGCATTATATGCTAGTAGATAAGTCGTTACAATGTATGGCCTATTGTTTAAAAGGAAATTTTTACATAGTATACAAATATGTTAATAAGGTATAGGCGTGATTATATAGAAACAATAAACTAGAACTCATAAAAAATTAGATACAAAAATAATTTAGATAGAAATAATTCAGAATATACATATAATATAGTTAAGTAGTATTTAAGTAGTAGTAGAAACAGAGGGGCCTGAAGATTAATTGTTGTTAGCAGTTTTAAGCACGCGTTACAAAATATGATTGTGCTCATAAGAGGTCTTGTGAGTTGGAACACAAAATTGGAATTTGTTTTTGGAAAAGTGAGAAAGAACTCTGAAAGGAATTGCAGTAAGGAGATTAGGAATGTCTAGAGAACTATTTAGAATTGAATTTAAGAAGTTCAAGTCTACTTTATCGCGACGAAAGACAAGTGTAGGGACATTAAAAAATTGTCTTAATAATATATTGAAGTAATCGTGTGGATCATGGTAAATATTCATTTTGATAACAATAAAGTTTAAAAAATTATTTTGGACACGTTCGAGTAGCAGCTAGTCCTAACCTGGCTGCCAAACCATGGATCTGTAATCAATAAGAGAACGGGCGAGGGTATGGTATAAAGTTCAAACGCACCCAGCAAACTTAAATAATTTAGTATTGCATATGATGACTCCAAGAACTTTGAGCGCTCTTTTAACCATTGTATTTATGTGGGAAACTCGTTCAAGTTCAGTGCTATTAAAAAAAGTAAGAGGTTAAATTAGAATATAAAGATCTCAAGAAGGAAATTATGTTACACTTAAAAAGGTTTAGGAATACATAAAAACATGAACACTAAAAAATATAAATGGACTAATATGACCCTAAATCATTTACCTGATCTATTCGAAATATTACTTACAAACATGTTTCTAAACCCTAGTATAAATATACCTAAATAGGTATTACATAAATTCCTAATCAGGGGACCCATATTTCTTACGATCGAAAGTTATAACTATTCTTTTATAAAATCAATCTAAGGTTATTTTAATTTACTAATAAATTATTAGCTATTAATTATCATTTTTTGAATATTTATTAAATATGTATCATCCAAATACCTTTTTTTTTGGTCCGCGGAGACAGCTTTTATATTGCTTTCACGAACATCCAAACACCGGTACAACATATCTATAACGTGCGTAATTATCTTAAGTGACACAATGAAAGAAACAAAAATATATATTATCATTATTTATATAATTTTTTAGTTTTCTTCGATTCATGTTTTTTTAACAAATTTCATTAGTGATATATGAGTAATGGGTAGGAGCATAGCCTGTTTCTACTAAGTTTTCATTATTCTTTTCCGTTAAAACTCGTTTTCACCTTAAGTGTACCTTTTTCTTTTCCACCAAAACAATTTCTATACTACACTATATTAAAAACTATAATAATATGATATATATCGCATGTAAAAATGATTTTATGTTTTTCTTCATCATTATTAAAAAATTTTAATCTTAGGTATTTAATATTCGTGCTATATTGCTTAATATTTTATTTACCTCTGCTATATTTTTTGAAATTTCAAGTAGTTCAATTTTTTTTCTTAGTCATTTTAAGACATAATTAGTGAAATTAGATGAACCTTTCATTTCAGATATTTCTTTTAAAATAATTTAGTTTGGTTTATTGACATGGTATGCAAAGGTCGCGAATATCAAGTACAGGTACCGCAGCGACCGGTCTACGCCGTCACAACCGCCACCACGGGTAAAGATGCAACACCGTCGACTCTCATCAATGTCGCAAAGGCCTAAGGTGGGACGGGAAGATAGTCATGCCGGACGAGTATCAGTTACAGACGATCGGTTACTTTTATTTTGACCGTGAAATGTGAATCGGACTACACCGCGCAACGCATCAACACAATAAGTCATACCGACAGTAACTTTGTATGTTTTTTTGTCGTTCTGCCGATTATTTGTTTATTTTGTCAAATATAAGTCACGCGTTAGTGTTCGGCTAATTGCTATTAGTTTTTTTAATTTAATTTTTCCTTCAAGTGATCGTGAGTGTTACGGCGCGACCTACCCACTGCGAATCTTTAAGTTATTCAGCACCCGTCGTGGCCGTGTCCACTATTAAACAGATCATCAATTATTTTTGTTTTAAACTTTGAGTTTATAATTTACAGCCTTTCAATTAATGTAGTAGAAAATTTATTGATAATAATTAATACTTCATTTTTATTATGAGTATATACTTTTTGTGAATCAATTAATTTTTTTTTTTAAATATAGTTAATGAATAATTTCATTAGATATGTTAACTGGCCCGATACAAAATTTTAAGTTATTTACTAATATTATTTTGTTTTCACGTTTACTTAAAATGATTTTAGCCATTACAAAATTATAAATTTTAAAAATTACACATGTACAATTAACATTTTATTTCACCACATATAGTTTTAATGTACAATTTAAACTGTGCAACCTTTTCATTGTTTCATAAGTTATTTTTCCATTGGATATTATATCGGTTAATTAATATAACCGATATGTACAATAACCCTTTAACATACAATAAAATATTACAATGTATATTTATGTATCAATACACTTGACATTGTCTATACAATTTTTCCAATTTTCTACTAATCATAATCTATACATTTAAAAATTGGCGTTTGTATGTAAAAGTTATGTCATTTTAAATTAACTTATACAGTATATAAACATATTATATATTATTTTATTTTTATATATAATTTTAAATTTAACCATTTTTTTTTTTTTATAAAATTTAATATTTTTTATATTATATATTTTATTACTGTATAAGTATAACAATTTTTAATATAAGCTTATTGTAGAAATTGTCATGGTGGAAACGTTGGTGAATACTTATTTGGTGGAAACGAATAATGGTGAAAAAGATAAAGATCCACTTAGTTTGAAACGTGATACACTCATAGGTATAAATATAAAATAAGAGAAAGGGGATCTTAGGGGTCGTTGGTTATCATATTTGCATTGTCTGTTTACTTGTGCAAAATTAGCATTAACATGTTGAAAAACAGAAGGGTGTAAAAATATGGAAAAGTATACAAATTGTACATCACACATTTAATGAAATTTTAATAAATATCGAGATTCTAATATAATACAAAAATTTAATAATTGGTAAGTTTACCCACGAAAGTAAATTTACACCTAAACAAAATTAAAAATAAATTTGCTTATTTGATATTGTAATTATTTAAATTTATAGATGATGCGAGTAGCAGCAACCGACCAACTTTTTCGTTGAGTTATTTTAATAATAGATTTAAAACGTTAGTATTTTAAGGATAGAATTAGTGCTCGATTAAAACACATTAGTAATAAGTAATAACTAATAAAAAATAATATTTATCAAGCAAATAGTAAATCGATTTTATTAGTCGTAGTAATTTTAATGTGTGATCTGTGTTAATTTGCTGTTGACATTGGGTATGGCTATTACAATAATATTATAATGAATGGTCAATTACGTCATAAATATTGAATATTTAAAAGTGTCGCTGAAAAATAAAAATTTTAAATTATTAAAGATTTTGAAAGTAATGATACAATTACAGTTTCTAACGTTTACTCATTAATTTTATCAAGATTATTTTTTGGCAGTGGTAGATTAACCAATTGTATTAATTCATCAACGCTTTGAGCTATTATCTTATCATTCAGAAAACTTTTGATTTTTATAAAATATTGAAAATTTGAAGTTATTTGAAGATGAAACATTTCGAAAACATTGTATAAATTTAGAAATACTACGAAAAGACGGTGAAAATTGTGATTTAAATGGAATTGAACTTTTTGATGAATTAAAAATATTTTGTAGAACTTTGAACAAACAAAAGGCATCTATTAAATGACTTAATTTAATAGAATTAACATGTGGTACATTTCCAATTATTTCTATTAAATTAAGAATATTATTAACTGTTCCAACAATTACTAACAATGCTGAAAGAAGCTTCTGAAAGTTAAAAATCATAAAGAACTATTTGAAAACAATAAAAGTTGCAAGATCGACTTTCTGATTTAGCATTATTTTAATAAAACGAGTTTTGTGTGAAAATTTAGACTATTACGATATTATTTTTAGTTCGTCAAAACAAAAGCCAGAAAAATTAATTTTTAATGAATAAAATTATTCTTTTGTATTTAATTAAATTAAAGCAAATTTGTATGAATATTCAATAAATTAAAATTAATGTATTATAGATGAGTAAATAAAAAGAAACATGAGTTTTAAGTCTAGTGTACAGTTATTTTAATTTATTTATCTTTTCTTTATAATTCATAAAAAACCCTTATTTTAAATTGTAATTAGTGAAGTTTGTGTAATAATAAATATTGATAATCGAGGACATCATTATTATATATAGGTATGTATAATAATTAATAACTAAACAGTGTTACAATTATTTCTGCTCTGGGCATTGCAAATTCTAAGGACGGCCATGGTTATTGGTATTTTAACATAATAATATAACAAGTATTTTCTATAGTTAATTTAATTTATACATCTGAACAAGGTTGTGGTTTCTTCTTATTTCTGCAGATATATTCATTTTTCCATAAACGTGAAGGTGGACAATTTGGAAATGGAATATCAATGCAGCCTATTTTAGTGCAGCAACCAGGATGTTTGCACGAATCTTGTAGGCCATTGAGTTTTACACATAAACAATTTTGAGTCTAATAAATAAATAAATTGAATTTCTATATTGTACTGTATTAAGTTAAGGATTTTGTTAAATTGCCTATTCTATTCTAATCAATATTAAAATAAAATATATTAATTATAAACATGAAAGCTTAATCGTATGCACACTTACTTAGTAGGAAGGCTAGTTTAAAATTATTAAAATCTTATATAAAAATTGTTATGTATATTTTCTATACACCATTGAATTTACCTATAACATTCCTTGCATTATTATTTTACATATTAATAAAATATAAATGGTAAATTTCTCCCTCCATCTTGGTTTTGAACACTATCTGTATAAGTCGCAAAGTTCTCATCAGTCTACTTTAATTACCCCTTAGCTCTTGCCTATAGCTGTTATATAGGTAACTCCCACAAGAACAGGCACACGGTACACTTGGTCTACAAAGAATTTTGAATCTTAAACTTACTTCATAAATAGTATTTAACTTTGAAAATTAATTTTTTGCGCTAGACACTTTTATTTAATTTTAATATGAGCTTAAATGGAAGCCGGTGAAAATATCAACTACAGTCAAAATTTTGACAAATAAAAATGACGACTGTTTAAATATTGAAAAGAACGAAATATTGGAATTTTAAAATAGCAATTGTGAAAGTAAAAATATCGAAAAAACATGAAATTTCAAGAAATTAAAGTTTATAAATATTAAAGTAAATATTGATGAATATTTATTGTGACCAATTGTTTGTAGTAAAAATAATCGTCTTTTAAATGAATTAAAATTAAAAATTAAAAATATTTATAAAAACAGATCATTAAGACCAAAATAATAATTATCTAAGTTCTAAGTTATTAACTACCTATTTATGAATTACTTATTATTTTATTTTATTATTACACATTATGTCATTATAAAATTATTCATTAAAAACGTCATTTTTGCTATTAAAAAATAAAACTAAAATTTTTTTTTAAGTAATTTTCTTATTTTAATTTTTTTCTTTGAAAAATTAATAATTATCAAATATTTAATCTATAGAAATTATAGTAACTGTCCATATTTTAAGTTATCGATATTTCTAATATCGGCATTTTATCTTGTCGATGTTACGTACCACACATCATTTAATTATGTGCTACTTTAATTTATGTGTCAATAAATTAGTTAGGTGTTAGGTTCTATGCATTTTAGTATATAAATATATCATTATAAATTTATAAAAATGTTCACTCACTAATCTTCCGGTTCTCAAAACAAATTCTTTTCCGTATGATGTCAATTCGAAATCGTCACAGTCGGCGTTAACTGTTGAAAAAAAATTGCCTTTGCAAGGTCTAGCTTTTTCACAACAATCGATATGAATCAAAGGAGTTTGTGCAACGGGTGATAAAGTACAACATTTGTAAAATTGCCCGTTCTTAATTGCAAGCTTTTGATTTTCACAATTAACATTTTTGAATTGGTTATTTACTGTATCTTTCTGTGTGTTAGTTAAAGTATTTTTATCGCACGATGCCGGCTCGATATAACATTTCTGATATTGAGGAGAATCCATTTTAAGATTAATTTAAAAAATTTAAATTAAAAATCTGATTTTAAAATATTTGTATTAATGAATTTTTAAAATATGAATGTTATATTATATTATTTATTTGTAAGAAATAGAATATACCAACGTAACGTTGAAAATAATTTTTCTCGAAATATTGTTTTTAGCCATGCTTTGACAATTTAAAAGCAATATTATACTAAATTAATCTCTTGGTTAAAGGTTAATATTCATTATAACATGATAAGTATATATGTTTAAGACTTACAATAAATATTATTAAAGTGCTTAACAAATAAAGGTTAAATCTATTTAATGTATTTTCAAGATCATTTATTATGACATTGTTATTTCAAAACCTACCACAAAGATAAAAAGTCATGTAACCTTTTTCTATTCATATACATGATTTCTATAATATTAAATGATGTATGCATTTTTCTATATGGTTAAAATTATAATATAAATATTAGATAATAATTTTAAATATAAACCAATATTTATTATTATTATCAACTTATTAGGTAGGTATATTTTTATTAAATGAGATTAATAATCAATACATAGCAATTATTGATGCTTAATTTATTACCTATGAGTAACTTATACTTTCTATAAATTATATAAAGACAAAATATATAATTATTTATTAATTATTACCTAATATTAAGTACCTATTGGGCAGGGACGTAGCCAGGATTTTGTTTTGGAGGGGGTCAAGTAAAAAAAATAATGAGTAGGTAGTTTTAAAAATTCTTATAATTGAAGTAAAAATTAAATTATTAAAGCAAAGTAATAATTATTATTAGTAAATAATAATAAATAAGAAATAAATAAATAAATGTAGGTACGTACAAATTATATTAATAATAATTTTCTTTTGGTTTTGTCATTATATCTAACACATTTTTTGGTGAAACTTATATTTCCCAATGAACGAATAAAAGAGTCAGCCTGTTAAATGGTCATTTCCAATTTTATTTTAAAGTAGTGTTTTTACTCTTTTTAAAGTAAAAAAAAAAAAAGATAAAATTTAAGTAATATATATATATTTAAATTTTTTTTTACCAGTGTATCAATAAAAGATAAAATTAATTATCTAATTATTTGATAAAGGACAATCATGATTATTATATTTACAAATTTATCTTATATTAGGTAGGTAAGTATTAATATTGTGTAAAATTCTTATCTACGCAAACAAGCGGTTATTATGTGGTTTGGTTCATATGAGAGTAATTTTTTCTATATATAAAAGTACAAAAAAAAATATTATCGATGATATTACGGGGTGGGGGGGTCCGGACCCCATGGACTCTTCCCCTGGCTACGTCACTGCTATTGGGCAAACAAAGATCTTAAAATTTTATGTAAATTATCAGTGTATTGGCGTATAGTTATGAATTATGATATTATATGACCTGTTATGTTACCTTTGATATATTATTTAGATGCATGCATGCTATGTTACGAAAAAAAAAAAACGCTAAAAAATAAAAACTTTAAATTTTAAAAATGATAAGTTTAAAATATATGATATAAAATAATAACTTAAATAAATTGTGTATTCTGTAAAAATGTATTAATTGAAATTTAATTGTCTGAAATAGATTTATAATTTAACAATTATTAACATCATAAATTTTAGAGCTAAGTAAACTATAAATTTATGTAAATAGAAAGCAGTGGCGAACCCAGGGGTGGACCCCTCCTCCTCTTGACTTATGTCATAGTATTTAAATTTATTCTAACATTTTCATCAAATTTTATAAATTAGATTGATTACTCGATTTGGTATTTTGTTATTAACACGACGAATTCGATGTATAGATAAAATCAATATTAAGACTAATGTCTAATGCAGAGGTTCCCAAACTGTGTGCCACGGTGTGTTATTAGGGGAGCCGCGGCTGTGCCTCGCTATATTTATGTGAAACTGGGTTTTCGGCGGCCGCTGTGATAAAAAGCAAATATCGGTCAAAAATCAATGTGGAAAAGGAAATAAGAGTAGCAGTATCAAGTTTGATCCCAAGATTTGAAAAACTATGTAGTGATGTCCAGGCTCATCCATCTCACTAATACAATTGTTTTCTAAAAATAAACTAAGTTTAATTTACTTTACCTAATAAAATTAAAATTAAATAATTCAGTATATAATTATATAAAATAAATATTTCCATATTATCTATTGAAAATTAAACATGTTTATTACTAAATCTATTTTATTTTAAAAAAGTCGTAAATTTTACTAAGGGCGCCACGAGTAGAAAAAGTTTGGGAACCTCTGGTCTAATGACTATACCATAATTAATTGACATACATTGTAAGTATAAATTTAATAATGTAAAATATATATATTAAATAATATAATTTTATTTCTTAACAATAAAATGTATGTATTATTTAAGTAAAAGAACAAAAAAACAGTTGATAAATACATTTTCTTGGACCCCCCCTTGAATAAATCTTGGTAGTGCCACTAGTAGAAAGTAACATAATATTATAATTAGGTATACAATTACACACTTTATCTGTGTCCTTACAAGATAAGCGGAATTCATTACAAATAGTATCTAGCTTCTAAACTAACTTTTTTCATAAAAAAATTATACATTTTTCTTTATCTAAAGTACAAACTGTTTAGCTTAATTACATATTTTCATATAAGTAGATAACTAGTGATACTAGTTTAACCATATATATTTTAATACATTATAACTGTTAAACAAATTAAATTATTAAAATATTGTCTTAAAAAAAGTGATGTTGGAGGAGAGAATTTTCGAATGCCGTTAACACAATAGCGTCAACAACCTTGTAATACGTTTTTAGATATGTAGGTTTATATTGCATAGAATATAGATGCATTGACGATAAATTGAATACACACTATGTACAGGACTTCACAAGGGGTGGGGAGGGGAAGGGAGGTTGAAGAAATGTACAAAATAGATACATCAATAATTAATAACTAATTTTATATATTTATGTTTATTATTAATTTTTTTAGTACATTAGAAGTGTTTTTTTTATCAGTACTAGAAAATTTGAATAATTATTGTAATACATTTACACGACGAGAGGTAGAAAATAATTCATTCAATTATTGGTTAATACTTGATATCCACATTTATATCAATGATGGTAGTCTATTTAAGTGAATTAAATGTTTGTATAATTTATTATTGTTATTAACATATGAGTTAGTACAAAACTCTCTAACGTGGAACGGAGAATAGGTTCGTGGTGATTTATAATATTAATGATAACGATGGAATTTCACTAAAATTATTAATCTAATTATTTTTTAAATATCATTGCTTATTTATGTATAGTATATAATGATTAATAATATAAGCATAAACAAATTTATCTAGTGAAATAATATTTTTTTGTAATTTATCTTTTGTGAAAATGACTAATTTCTACAAAATTATTTCAAGAATTTATGAAACTACTAGAGGTGGGGCGTGGCTCATTAGGTTGAAGGGTCACTGAATAAAAAATGGTAATATGTCTCCTCCCCTATCCTATTTTATATATACTGTAAGAATATATGTGTAAAAACTAGATAGAAAATAAATTTGTATGAGTAGTTTACTATTGCATCATTAAAAATATCTCTAATTAAATCGTCAGACATAATAACAAATAACAATATTATAAAATGTTCATAACTAAAAAATATCGTAAAATAAATATCATAACCAATAACCACGATAAAAAATTTACAGTGGACTATGACGCAACAACGAGACACGCGACACGCGACGTCAACAATTACGAAAAAAAAAATCATAAAAATATGAAGGCCATGTACATCCTGTTGTGCAAATATTACCTGCACTCACTTTTTAATTTTTCGTACGCCATGTTTATTTTGTACTTAATGGTCCTTCAAAATACTAACAAGATTTTCTTTTGAACCAGCAAATATTTTTAAGTTAAAAATCTAATCATTTTTGCTCAGGATAATAGAGTTAGCATATAATTTGTTTATTTCAATTATTAGGTAGGTATAAAATATTTTCGTCGTAATCTCGTAATCGACGTAATCTGTTAAATACGAAATTCGCGGTGTGATGGGACCGCCGTATGCTGTCGACGCGGCGGGTTGTGTCTACACTAGGGTGACCATATTAAGAAAATAAAAAAACGGGACATCTGAAACGTCTAACCCCCCCCCCCCCCCACCCCAAAGAATGAGTTTACAGAAAGAAATTCATTGATCGAATATCAACAGCGAACAGTGTCAACTAACAACTATTAGCGATAAACGCGTAATGCCTATAAAAGAAGGAAGAAGACGGACAACGTAAAAACGATAAAGAACATAATAGAATTAGAATAGAATAATAATAATATTATTAATAATCGAATCAATATAATTATAATATTCATAAGACTACAGGCTTGTCGTCCAGTTGTCGATACCGTAATACGGGTATTCGTAATAATTGAAAAACAAAAATAGCAGACGACTGTCTATATACTTTTATATTTAAGGAATAATAATAATAATTGTGTAGCGTGTGTGTGGTTTGGTCGGTCGGTGCGATAAGACGACGACGATCGAAATAGTCGCACAGCTGAACATGGTGTCTGTTATTTATAAATTTGGTTTCTAATTTTTAACATATCTATGACTAAAACTGTTTTATATTAATTGTTTCTTAAATCGATATTTTTTTCACAAACATAATATAATAATATTGAAATAACGGGATTAAAACAGGACCATCTTCTAAAAACGGGATAAAAAGCGTCCCGTTCGAAGTTTGTCGGGACAACGGGACATGATGACCAAAAACGGGACAATCCCGTTTTAAACGGGACGTCTGGTCACCCTAGTCTACACCGTTCTGAGACATATAAAAATCCAAAACTAGCATTCTGCTATTGGCATCATTGTGTTACCAATCGTATCAGCGTTGGTGGGCGGTACACTTGTAGTGATGCTTGTTCAGTGTATAATATTGTTATTGAGACATGATGACATTTCAACC